TTTGCTGCCCTAAAACACTCTGTTCAGGCCACCTTGAAAATAAAGGTGTAGTTGGCACCTTGCTAGGTATAGAGACCCAGGGTAGCTATAGTGCAGCTACCAGGTATAGTACTTCAAGTTCCCTTTCCGTCAAGCGCTCGATAGCCTCTACGCACAGCAATCCACAGCTTTGAAGTCTCATTCGTGCTTTGAACTTGTGTAGGTGTGTAAGAGGTATAGCAACATAGTATTTATACGGACCCAGGCTAGCTTCAGAAGAGCACTCCGATACTTCACTTATACAGCACTCCTTGAAGAGCATGAGTCGCTTGCGCATAGCCACCAGAAACAAAGGATCTTAGTCTTACTGGAAGTGGAATGAAACACCAGGACCTTCAGAATGACCTCTTTGGAGTCTCCAAGTGACCTCATTCGGGACTAAGTGACTAAGTGACCTCATTCTGGGATCTCGGACGGTCACTTTGAAGGTCCTGGTAGACACCAAATGATGTCAATGTGGATAGATTTGGCTACGGCCTAAAACATCGGATTCCATCCAAACCCCCCCCTGTGCAGAGGAAAAATCCGGGCAAAATGACACCGAACCCCTCAATTGCCAGGAAGCGCAGGTTTTTGTTTTGACATGGTTACCTCTGTGTGGGCAGAACAAGACATGAAGCAGATTTGACACGCGGCCGCAAGCAGCTGCGCGAGCTCATTTGCTTGCTTCGACGCGCAGTTGTCGAGAAAGGGAAGCGCTGGCTTTCGTTTTGCAGCTTCTCAGGTGTTTTTTGTTTTTTTGGCTGTGCGCTAGGTAAAAGTTGCAGCTTTCTATGATTGAATCTGACGGCCTTGGATCCGTTGCCATATAGTAGGGATGCTGGCGCATTTTGCGTTCCAGTGCAAACATGTTCAGTAATATTGTTCAAGGGATTTGTTTAGACTACTTGACTGCACACAACGGTGTTCCTTCCAAGTTCGGCTTGACTTTCGTGTACGCAAATATTTGCAGGTTAGGCCATTGTGACGTTTTTGTTTTCACTTGTGGCGAAGCATCCTCCTGCAGTGCCGACCGAATGCTTGGTACGCAGCTGTGTCTTGGCTGGCGAAGCTATTGGATGTTGTTGTAATTGCAGTCGACTTTGTTTCGGAATACAATTTCGTGCCAGGGCCCTCATCCATTTCAGTTGGAGCAAGGTGGTGCTGAACTAGGCAGTATTCTGTGTGACTTTGTCGCAGGGCAGCCTTGCTGAATGTTGAATCCTCATGTGTGAGCTGTTGATTTACTTCCACCAGCTGCTCATTATCACCGCATCACCATGATCGCCCTTACCTTCAATGTCATCGTCCCTCCTGCTGATCTATCCGGCGTATTCACCCTTCATGGGATCCATTATGAAAAGCAGTCTCGGTCGCCTGGTTTGGCGCTGCCAGGAGAGCTGGCTGGGTGGCCCTGCGGCTGCCAGCTCGCTTGCAGTGCTAGCGTGTGTCGAGTGCTGCCGCAGAATTCCAGCCGCTTGCGTGGGTACTGCCAGGCGTGCTTTGCGCGCAATGTTTCGGAAAACCAGGCTCAAGCTCAACGTGCAGGTTGCATGGTGTGCGGCTCGGCTATTTCTGCGGACAGCAAGAGCCCTATGCCAGGATGCTGCTTTCATTGTCAATCCAAGCAAGAGGTTGAATTTGAGAATGCGCAGGAGCAAGAGCCGGCTTTGCAGACATCAGCTGGCTTGGCCTCTCCAAAGCCCATCACTAGAGAACCTTCGCCTCCCCCATTGCCTCCGCCAGCAGATCCCCCGCCAGATTCGTCTCCAACCTTGCGGCAGTGCTTAGAATGTAGAGCTGTCCCGCAGAAAAAGAACAATGCCAGCCATTGTGTTGAGATTCTGGAGGAAGGATTTCCACACAGTGATCTGGTGAAGTGTGGAATCTGGTGAAATGTGGAATCACCATTCCCAGTATAGCAGCTTTTGACATTGAATCACTCAAGAAACGTGTGCCGAAGGCACCCTTGGCCCACCATTTCAGGGCTGACTTGGATGATATCACTAGCAGCCGCAAGAAGCGCCTAGACTGGTTGACCTGTTGGGGGAAACAGAGAAAATCAAAGTTTATGGCGAAGCCTGCGCAGAAGGCATAGGAGAACAGGAAATGGTGGGGCAGCTTCAGGGTCTACAATTCACAATGCGCGGCTGTGCCACCAGGTTTGACTGTTGACATAGTAAGATAGTCTGCTGGCGGCGTGCCATTGGGTTTTAGATCTTACCTTGGAAAATCATGAGCATCTTCTTGTGCTTGTGCCAATAGGGGCTACGTTTTTCCAAAAAGTATGTGGAAAGGTCCAATACTGGCTGTGCCAATGTGATTTACCTTCAATTTTCATTCGAACAAGTCAGAATGTGTCAGTTTTACTGTTGTGCGCAATGTTTGCTGTTGTTCATACAAAACTCCTCATGTAGCTGTTTGTGGCTGTGCCATGCAGAAGTCCATTTTCTGATGTGACTTTCGGGCCCCTGATGTGACTTCCAACTTTTCAGGCCGTACCATTGGGATGATGTGACATAATCCGATTGATGTGACTTAGCCACCATGTCTATGGTTTCCAGGACACCTAACCCAAAGCAACTTACATTTTTTTGGGAGGTCGGGAGCTGTAGGCTGGGGATTGGGAAAGGGGGTTGGGGATTGGAGCTTGTTTTCCTGTCTTTGAGAGTGATCTGAAACACATGTAAAGTTACATTTTGATCTTTGTGTAGGCTCATAAAACAAAACTAATAACACAAGTGTAGCCTACCTACATGTTGTTACGCTTACCTGGGAAAATCTAAGCTTACATTAAGGTTCACTTTCCATGCCTCCCCCAGATATTGTAACTTAGACTTTTTTTGGTCCCCCCTTTATAGGTGGGATGCGTTACCTGAGCCCTCCTTGTTTCACCAATTGTGAACACGAATCCCGTTGGCTCGCCCCCGGGCAGTAGATCAGAGCCTGTAGGGGGCTCGTGAAAGCGGACTCGGGTGGATCACCGGGGTGCTACAAGCAACCGACACGCAACGGACACAATCTTCCATTTTGATAGCACCCATTAGCCAAGTCGAAAGCTGGAGACTCACTCGAAAGATCTCGAAAGCTAGAGGGATGAATGGGATGAATGGATCAATGTCGTATCGTCGCCATCTCCTATACTCCTTCCAATACTCCTGAAAGCCTTGCTTTTGCCTCACAGGAGCTGGCTAAGATGCAGGAGGAAGTGAAGCTGGCCCGAACGTCCGAGGCAGAAACCTTGCATCCTTGGTTTTTTTCTCATCCAACCACATACGCAGGTTCAAAGGCTTGGGATTTGACATCCGATTCACGATCAAAAGAGGTGCAGCATCATTGAGATTGGGATGTTTGTTTCACTTCAAGTAATGTTCACTGTGGATGAGATTTGATGAGTAAGCTTTTTCACATGGAGATGTAAAACTCATTTGCTGGGAGCTGGGGGTGATTCATCAACAGTCAACATTACAAGAGATTCAAATCTTTGAGGTGCGGACAAAGACCCCAAGGCATCCGTGCAGCTGCCCAGGCGTCCGTGCAGCAGGACCTGAGAACCGTGCAGGAAAAGCTGCAAGCTTCAACGGAAGCGCAGGCACAAAAAGAGCAACTGAACATGAGGTTAGTGAATCTTTGGACGACCTTTACAATGTCTCACTCAGTAACATATGCGGTAAACATAGAACTCTACTCTTAAGCGACATCAATTGACAGTTCCTTGAACTGCATGGATGTCATTCTATGTCACATATCGATACCTGGCTGGTCTTGTCGGGACCGACCAGTCCTTCGGAACCCGAGCGAGTGGAACCGATTCAACCGGTGATCCAGCGAACCGAGAGAGCTCGTTTGGGTCAATCAGCTCAACAAGAGTTTCCATGTGAGAAAAACTATAGTGTTGAGGTTTAGCTTGCAAAAGACACAGAGGCATTGTGATTTTGGCCGTATCTGGAGGCTTCGATGCAAGCGGATCTCTCAACGATGCAAGACCAGCTGGAAGCCGCTAAAGAGGCGGAGGTCTGGACCTCTTTGATCGTTCGGCCTGTTATATAGCGGTCCTCAAATAGATAGAACATGTTCAAAAGTGATTGACTTTCTACCTATATGATTATTGCTTTTGTTTGAGGTGACTACAACATGATCTACATATATAAATATATATGTACTCCAAGCGCTTGGTTTGTGTGTTTCTTTGGGGCAAAGCCGCCAAAGCCGTCGGTGAAAACCGGAATCCGCCTGCCGAGCTCGGTGATCCATGTGCTTCCGTTTTTCTGTCCCTCCCATCTCGGCCAAAACGACCTTCCTCGGCGGGGAAGCCTTTTTGTTCACTTTGTTTGTTTTTTCCAAAGCTATAAGTTATATAGGCCGGTAGTTGCTCAACCACGGCCCCCAAAATGCCCAAGAACCAGTCACTAAGCGCGCTGTCGCGTCGCGTCTTCTTCGCTGGTATCGCGGCTATCTATGTAGACACGCGCCGCGCCAAACCCGTCTTGAGGCGAAGTCCCAGGAGGTGCTTTTGCAGTTGAAGGCATGGGTCCAAGGGTATAGCAGTGAAGCTCATGGATTCAGTGAAGCTCAGGGGTTGAGGCGGGTTCAGTGGGTCAATGAATTTGAACCTCTAGTTGTTATAGTGTGGTGCGGGTCAAAGACATATGCGGCCTTCAGCCGAGCCGTTATGTTTGGAGTTGGTAAAGGATCTGACTTGGGAATCAGCCGAGTCTACATTGACAACTTCTGGGATTCCTTGGATTGGTATATACGGATACAGTATTCCATGCTGCACCTGTCTTGCATCATGGTAGTTCATAGTCATCCCCAGCACCTGCAGCAAAGAGCATCTCAGGTAGTGCGGCAAATTGTATTTCAACATGTGTGCTGACCTGGTAGAGGAATTCTCCACACCCTGTATGTTGTGCGTTCAGTAACTGTGATGGCAAAATCCGTCCGGGCTAGAATCCACCCCCCTTATGTATACAAAGAGTCAGTGAAATGGGTGCATTCTGTTTAGATCCGTTCCTGAGTCAGTTCGAGCTTTTGTTGCAGGAGCAACTATCCAAAGTGCAGAAAGATGTGACTTCTGCTCGAGATGCAGAGGCCGTACCCTTGGACCGTTCTTCTTGCCGTGCGGCCACGAAGCAATGGAAAAGGGACCAACAAATGTGAAGAAGCGGTTCTGAGCAGGCATTGATCCGCAAGAACCCTGTGTTTGTTTGGAGGCTAGTTCCATGAGGGGAGCGTGCACAGCATGATGAGCGGACGATCATTGATGAACAGAGGCATTGTTTCTTCTGATTTCTGATTGACCATGTTGCTTTGATCCCACCATGACTTGAACAAAACTGGTTATATAGGGGCATGGGTAGTCTTCTAACTTGATAGGGTCAGATAGGTATGGTTAAAGGTTAAAGGCAAAGGCTTGGACCCCGTCCCTTCAGAGGCCTTTGCACAGAAGGAGCTGTCCCAGCTTCGAGAGGAATTCACCTCCCTGGAGGCTTTGATGGAGGTCACGAAGCCGACGCGATTGACACTTCAGTTGAGTCAGACACCAGTCGGACACGCGAATTGGGAATGACGTTATCCAGGTGTGTGTGTGTGTGTTTCTCTTCTTTTTGTGGTCAAGAACGATCAAGATGTTGGTCGATTCCCATCCGACCAATTTCTCATCTTGCTCCACCGAGTCGCTTCATCTCGGTGTTTCTTACGGGACGGGACCCTTAAAGGACGAATGGTTTCCTCGCTGTTTCTTTCCACCCTTCGGATCCCTTCGGTCCTTACCATGTCCTTTCAAGCATCGCACCGTTGTTCGAAGAGGTGAAGGGGCGACCTGTCATGTGCGACCGGTCATTTCCCGCATTTCGTCTCATGTCCTTCCTCCAAATAGATCACCCGGGGTAGTGAGCCGTAACTACTAGAGAAGTATATAGATCTCGTGATGAAACCTACCAGGCTGTTTTTAGGTGGAGAGGATCTTGAAAGGGACCACGCGGCAGTTGAATACGTGTTGAAGATGTGTGCGCAGATGTGCCATGGAATTGCTTGGATGCTTGGGATCCAAGTGCAGACTAGGCTGTCAGCACAGCATGCTACGGAAGCTGCATGTCGACATACCACTCTGTGAGACGAAAGTCTTGTCCCGTCTTTTCCATGTATTAAACTCTCCCAGTAAAACCGAAGAGAAATACTTTCCCTTTGTTCCTTCATTCATCTTTGATTATTTTCCCTCTCCCGCACGTCCTATGACTGCCAGGCCTCAAAGGAAGAGCTTTCAACGATTCGAGAGGACGTCGAGAAAAAACAACAATGCAGTCCCCTTCAACTATGGGTCATTCTGTCATCTTTCATCGCTTCAATGGCCATGTTAGGGAATACTGTAGTTGAGGCATGTTGAGGCAAATAAACTGGACAGCGCTTGATGTTTTCTCAAGCCATTGGCACAGGTTGGGCATTGAACACCAAATATATAGCCTGATATTTAGACTTTATGCTGATGGGCAAGCAAACATATATTTATACCGCACAGACTTGGCACCGCTGTCGTGGAAGCTGGTAAGCTTGACAGATATCATGACATGGATGAGCGTATAGTTATCATCGCGGGACCCAGGCTAACTCTGTGAATCTTGAAAATAATAAAAGCAACAAAAAACAACTATATACAAAAAGCAAAAGCAAAACACAATCCAACATTAAAAAGCATCAAATGAAAAAGCAAAAGCAAAAGCAAATCAAAAGAAAATGAAAAAGCAAAGACAACGACAAAAACAAAAACAACTCCAAAAAGCAAAACCAATTTTCCGCATTTGTTTTCGGCCTTTTATTTTTTGCGTTTGTGCTTGCCCACATGTTTTGTTGGCATTGTTGTGTTTTATGTTGTTTTTTTTGTTTTTCGATGTTTGCTTGTTGTTTCACTTTGCTGTTCGCTGTGTTTTTTCATCGTTTGTTTTTGTTGCGTTTTCATTTTTTAGCATGTGTGTTGTTGTTTTTTTGCTTTTTCATTTGCATGTTTTTTCACGTTATTTTCGCGTGTTTTGCTTTTTGCTTTTTCATTTGCTATTTTTGTGCTTTTTGGATTGTCATTTGTTTTGCTTTTGTTTTTTTTGCCTTTGGGATATGCTTTTTTTGCTTTTGCTTTTTGTAGTTGTTGTTTTAATACTACTATGTTTTTGGAAAAAAAACCTCAGAGATGGCCTAAGTGGTTTTCTTGAGCGTATAGGTCTCGATCCGTTCAATTGATTGATGTGTTAATGTTCAATCTCATGCCAGTATGGCATGCGATGGCATGTGCGGTTTGACCGAGATATGAACCTGCAAAGTACGCTGTTCAAGTCCTTCCAATGCCTTCTTCCATGGTCTACAGTGTAAAGGAACGCTTCAAGCTGACGGAAGAAGCCAAAGAAGCCAAAGACGCCGAGGTGCCATCGGTGGTACTGGGTGGTTCAAAGGCTTCATTCAGTATAGGTTTCATGGTGGATTTGGATGAAAGAGGAGAAAACCAAGGGGATCCGTTGGGTTTTCTCCCTTGGGGAAGCTGGGTCTCGGGATGTTTGTTGCCTGTGGCTACCGCGGGCGGCTTGATGCGCGTTGGGTGGGTGCCTTGGGTCGTCGCATGTCGCAGGCTTTGGCCCAGGAAGAGCTGCTGAAGCTTCGGGAGGAGCTTGCACAGATGAGAGATGCGGAGGCGGTTTGGTCGTGTCAGTACCGGGGCTCTGGCCACGGGTATGGCCACGGATCAACTTCTGCATACTTCTTCGGTCGGTATACCGGGTATTTGGAAAAAAACATGTTCATCAAATGGGCCTTGGTGAAGTCATGCGCACCTTCAGTGTTTGAGCATGTTTGAATTGTTCTATATGCGATTGATGGAACCACATTTTGTAAGAAAGGATGACAGACAAAACAGCAGATAAGGACATCACCATTGTGGCGGATTCTAAACGATTGACCTTTTATGGGCGGACTTGGTTTTGTGTCTCACATTGATCAGCAGATCGTTTATTGAACTCCTTTGACCCTGCAGTTGTCCCCCTTTGACGGACAAGACCCTGCACCCATAGTAAGAGCATTGGACAAGATTTACACATGCAAAATTGCTCAAAGGCTGCCATCAAGATCTCCGAGCATGAACTAGCGGTAGGGGCCATAGCGGTAGCGGCGATATAGAGTTCGTCTACCGCGGATACGTGTATATATATATATACATATTTAATACATAGTTGAATCAATGCTGATTTGCTGATTGAACATAACGTTTGATTCCAAGCTGATGCCAGATTACGTCCATCAAGTTCATGTCCTTATTGATATATATATATATATAAATCATTATAAATCACATTCCGGCGCAGCATAAGACTGCAGCGCCCTGTGTCCACAACGCACACTTGAAGGCCAAGCTGCAGGCTGAGCTGGCTGCAGTCAAAGAGACAGAGGTTGTGGAGACAGGGGGTGGCAATGGTGCGTCTTGAATCTTATATATAGATATATGGAGTATGGTAATCGGCAAGGGGTGTTAGCATGTTTGAATGTGGAATGTTTTTGAATAGTAGTAGCATGAGACAGAAAGCAAAGCAATCTAGGTTGGGGCTGACAGTAGCAGCTAGCATGTGGCAAGTTCAATCTGACAGGTGGAAGATGACGTCGCACCCAAGTGTATTAGGTTGTCAGCTAGACCAGGGCGAAGCCCCTTCAGGAACTTCTATATACATGACTTTTTGTTTGCTACAGACATCAAACATTTGGCAGACCTTTGTTTGCACATGCTTGGGCTTGGGTGGCACATGGTGGCACTCTGGCCATTCATTGTTCCTTCCGACTTGGGGGCTAGATTTTCCTTTGTCTTCCTTGTGATTCAGGTCCTCCGGAGATCATGGGCCCAAAGACCTCACATCTCGATGCCTCTCGGCCTCAAATCGATTTGCACCGCCAGGGCGGCGCAAGAGAGGAACTCTCGAAGATGCAAGAGGACGTCCTGACGTCACGTCGACGTGATGCGTTGGGATGGACGCGACGCGATGGAGGACGCTCCAGGTCCCCGGTCCCATCGCTCACCAGAACACGGTGTCAACCCACCATCCGACCCAGGACCTGGAGCGTCCCAATGAGAAGCTGTGTAAATCAAGTGGTCTTCAGAATGTGTTCTGGAATGGAGGTCAATGAAGCTGTTTACAAATGAGCCGTGCTCTACTCCATCCAGCTCACCCAAAGAAGAACTTCGCCTGTTCTGAGGACGTTTCTTTCTGGAAATTACTCATTTGCAATCACATGTTGCGAGAGATGCCGCAGAGGAGTGTTCCAGCATGATTGAAGAAATGAAAGCAGCGAAAGATGCAGAGGCTCTACAAGCTCTACGGTCTTCAGTCTTCACTCGTTTGATGCGGGGGTTGGTGAAAACAAGTTGCCATCAGACTCGGGATGCTTGGGATTGGGATGTTGTATTCTTTAGAAGAAAACAGCTCAACTGGCTGTGGCAAGAACGGAGAACAGCAGGGTCTTGGAACCGCACCATTGAAGGAGCTGCAGATATAGCCTAGATTTTGATTTAATGGTACTATAGTCAATTCCCTGCTCATTATCACCTTGGCGACAGCAGGGTATGGAGGTGCTTGCTCCAAAGTTGTAGGTTCGAAGTCTTTGTTTTGATAATCTCCGGCCAGTCACGCCAAGAGCCATGCCCCCAACGCTTCCAGTGAAAGAAGCGGTCGCTGGTCGTTTCGCACAGGCTCTAACCCAAGCAGAGCTCTCAAAGCTCAAAGAGGAGCTCTTACAGGCAAGAGAAGCAGAGGCGTGTGCAGCTGCACGGCCACAGGGTCATGTGTGCTTGGTGGCGCTTATGAACCCGGCAGGCATTTTGGTGTGTGATAAGTCATATAAATCAATTTAGCCAATGCACGAGGATGCGCAATGATGTCATAATGACCCCTTTGAACATCACATTTCAGTTCAGCCTGCACTTCTATCATATCTATGGAGAGTGGTTCTTTGGCATTTGTTCACCCACTGCAATGGAATGAATACCCCCGTAAAGCCTTCGCGATGCTCTTGACTCGTCCAATGAAGCTTTGCTGGACTTTGTTGATTTGATCACCTCCAGTTGGCCCCTGTTGCCTCCAAGACTTTGTAGATCATCCAGTGCAATTGTTGGTTGATGGATGTTGATAGAAACAAACTCAGAGCAGGAAGAGAAGGATTCCTGAAAGCAACATTGGCGTAAAGTGCAGCATTGCAGTAATTACTCTCATTTCAGAACTTGGGCATTGGTAAATTTCCTTGAATGAATATGAACTAGAAATAACACATTAGAAATATATAACTAACATAACTTTGTTCCATGTGTTCAAACCATATCATGAAGCTAATGGACACGACGAGTATCTCAGCGATCTGCATGATAGTCTTGCAAAGATACCTTTGGTCTTCTTTGTTTGTTTGTATTGCCTCAGCTTTGTGCAAGGCGTGGCGCAGTAGACAAACAGAAAGAATCAGTGAGTATTCCGGAAGACCATGTGGATTTTTACATGATACCAAGTATGATAACAAACGATGGCAAACGATACCTGGGTGCCTGCTGTGTTCAGCAGCGTTCAAAACATTTCGAACATCGATGATTCCTACCATGCACTCAGTACTGAATGTTTTGTTGGGTTATCACATCCACCCTCACCTCTGGCATGCCCAAGCTGCTATGTGCAAGTTCCAGACACCCAAGCTAGCAAAGCAATGTGCATGGTATACGCATGGTGTGCCATACCTTTGAGCTTGCTCAACCAATACCCCACCTGAACGATGCCTTGGATGTGCGCGCGCCAACGCTTTTGGATGTTCCGAATCACCGAAGGCCGGAACGGCGCGGATGGCGAAGCCGGAGGCGGAGGCGCGGACGGGCGTTTGATGGACGCGAAACGGGAGGGTTCAGCATCATGCAGCTTACGAGAGAGGGGGGAGTGATGCTGACTTACTTTGTTGAGGGCTATCTAGCTACAGATGTTAACCAGCCTTAACCTAGTGATACTTTGATAACCTTAAGCTATTTTTAGCTGCTACAGATGGAATGACTCAAAGGCCTTCCTTTTTTGAGGGCCATATTTGGGCCGCATGGGCACTTCAAGTGTTTGAGAAAAGTCTTTGAACTGAACCATGGATTATTGTGAACGATTGTCGCGTTGCCAATTTCTTTCTCATGGTGTAGACAGACAAACATACAAAACAGTTCTTGGCGTTTTGGGCGGCCCGGGCTTTGGTCACGGATCTTTCTTTAGTATCTTTAGTTCTGTTGTCTAAATTGTTGGTTTTAGTAGAGTTATAGAGTTCGCGTTGCAGAATTGTTGACAAACTTGGCCACAAAAACGGCATGACATGGATCGGCAAGAGAAGGGCCCAGGGGCCATCGCAATTTTCAAGGATCCCGCTGGATTCAATACAAAACAAACGCTGTCATCATTGACCCAAACGGTATTTTGGTTACCTCAAACAAAGTACCCAGGCAGACCTGCCAGGACCTGCCAGATAGACCCCAATCAGAGATTGGGAGGTTTTCCTAAGTTTTCCCATATATGCGGCTGGACACCCCAACATATATATCCAAATATCACGTACCGTATAAGGGTCCTTTAAACAAGAAAACGTCGTCCTCAGAACACGGATCTTCCGCACAGCCTCAGAAACGGGCCGCGCCAGGGACGCGCGTCCCAAGGACGAGCCGCGCGGATCAGGTGTTCTGCAGGTCGAATCCGTTTGATTGGATCCTTCAGGTCCGTCCCATGCACCGGCGCCAATGGCACACTCTCTTTGTTCTTTTCGCGCAGGCCGAAGGCAAGATGAGGGAGTTGAAAGCAGCCAAAGATGCTGAGGTCGGGAGGAGACGTTTTGTTAGAAGCCTGGACAGTGGAGGTTCATGGGGATTGTATGGACCCCCCAAAAACTGTGTAGGCCCACACATTGATTGCTAATTACCATGGTGGAGACTGGAAATGTATGCAAGAGCCGTTTGGGTCTCTTGGGCACGCGTTTGACCACCACATGGCTTGGGCACAGATGAACCTGCCAGATTCTGTTTACAGACGCATTGGGTGAGTCGGAACCAGACCCGGCTTGTCCCGTCCCCTCAAAATGAAGCAGTTGGACGTGTAGATATCATAAATGCCCGTTTTTGTCGTGTCAAAAATGATCGTTTTTGCCTGTTTTTGCGCAGGCGTTAAAGCTACAAGAAGAGCTTTCAAAACTACGGGAAGAGCTCACAGAGAAACGAGAAGCGGAGGTGCGGGCGCAAAAGCTCGGCGGTGTGCCACATTCGTGTTGGTGGCAGATTTAAAGGATTCAATCTGTACAAGGTGTCTATAGTTTCTATTTGGGGATCCTGCACTTCTATAGAATGATGGCCTGATGGCCGGCCCGCCCCAAGACTGGCCCGATCAGAGCGAGTTGAGCGAGTGAAACGCATCCGCAGTCGAAGAGCTCTGCAGCAGTGATCGCGCTCCAAGACGAACTCTCCAAAGCGAGGTCGCGAGAGGTGCCTTCAGCGAGAGGGCCTGTCTCACCCTAGGGATCCACTGCCACCTTCTCAAAAGGTAATTGGACCATCCTGGCGCCTACATGAATAGTCTGCAATCACCTTCTCAGAAGGTATGTGGATCCATAGGGTCAGTCATCGAGAGTGGCGTGTCACTCGTGCCATTGAGAAGGGCGAGCAGACAGAGATGGCAGATGGCATGTGAATCAAGATGATACGTGGTCACTTGGGGTGACCAACTGACCAAGCCCTTTATTGTTTGTTGACCGACTTAACCTCTACAAAGAAATGGTGCAGAGAACATGAAAAAAACAAACAACCGTTTCCGGGACTTTCCTGAGCGTTGCCGGTCTCTCCAGTGGGCAAACCAAGCACCTGCCCACCCGACCATGGCTCCCCCAAATCCCTTGCTGCAGCGAGGAGGAGTTGCGAGAGCAATTGGCCGAAGCCCGTACTGCAGAGGTGGGGTGTTCGGCAGCGAAACGAGGTCTGGGGCAAGATGGGGCGGTTCGGCAGTGAGTACTTCAGTACTTGCGGGGATGCATGAATTTTGCTCCCTGTCGATTCTTTCTCATGGTTTCCCTTTTCTTCTCCTTTATGTGCCAATCACCCGAAATGCGCAGATGGCCCATGGCTTGAGCTACCAATGTAGCATGCAGGGGAGTTCACAGAGAAGTCCCGGAGTTCAGAGGTTCCACCCCGCCAGGCGTCCGATCACAAGGGCGTTGACTTGCAATGGGAGTTGATGACTGCCAAAGACACTGAGGCGACGGAGGGTGATGTCTGGGAGCATGTGATGCATCTTATTTTGCAGTGCCAACTGCCATCAACAAATTGTTGGAAGAATGAGTTCGAACACTGCGTGAAGCTTCGCAACAGAGTTTCCCATTGAGGACCACAAGGCACGCCACCACTGGCTGAAGGAAAGCTGACAAGTTGCCCAGCCAAACATTGCATGTTCATTCTGGTTCTCCGCCATTGGAAGTAAATTGGGAGTATGTTTTCAATGTTCAATATGTTTTCTAATGTTGTCTTAATATTACAAAAAAAACAATGAAGGCAAACCCCGCTCGAACTTTGATGCATCCTCCAAATCCGGAGGCACAGCTCAGGGAGCAGCTGGCTGAAGCCAAAGCCGCTGAGGCAGGATGTCTGACACTTGCTGAAATTATGCAAGCAAGATTGGCAAACACGGAAATGCATGGAAAACCACCGATTTTCATAAGAGCTGGCCACTTTGTATGTACTTGTAGTTAAACATACTTCCCTATAAGCCTCCTTATATAGTCAGCCAAGAAAAGCAGAAGTTGCTGCAATGTGCAGAACGAGAAAAGCAGGGTCGGCCCAAGAGATGGTATTGGAGACAGCTATCCCAAGAAACGTCATCACTCAGGATCTGACTGAAGTAGGATCTTACTGCGTTCAGGGAGGATCGTTTCACCGGTCTCTTCAGCACCCTGAATCGATTCAGTCTCAAAAGCAGCGAAAACGCGGTGGCGCAACGGGTCATGGCAGACTGTGGTGGCACAACACAACACCCAAATGTTGTGACTTGAGCAGCATCTACAGCTGGGTCAAAGTGCCTTATGTCATGTGCTCAGCTCACCTAGGTTCCCTAGGATGCGAATCTGTTCCACCTACCCCTCGAACCCAGCCCTGTGTCCATGTGCAAGGCCAGAGCCTTGTCGAGAGCCGCGGGTGACTTTCAGGTTGGAGTCCGCAACAGAGCTGGGTAAGTGGGGTGCAATCAAGGTTCCCCAGTAAGTATAGTGAACAAGATCTCGAAGACCGCGTAGGTGACAGCGTAAGTCACTCAGTAACTCGTACAAAGCGTTTTTGGTGTGTTAAACTACGTGCTGGGTATGGAAAAGGGTGAGAGTGCCTGCGCCAGTGGTCTTCCCCCAACCCCGATGTCTAGTTCATCATCTAGCAAGTTCCCTTTCCAATTTCTGGATTGTCGCTTGAGGAGCCCGTGGATTCCTCACCCTCCTTGCAGCTTGGAGGAACGTGGAATGGAATGGAAGCACCATGGTGCACTGAAACGCTTGGAGTTTCAATGGGTTTCATACTTGTGTGGCCATGCAGCAGGTTATTTGTTGTTGTTTTTTTACCTTTTTTTGTCACGTCCTGTTCTTGAATGCCTGGTAATAACTTCCAACAGGCTGCGATGTACGTAATGTATGTAGCACTGACTGTTGTTTGGATATCCTGGAATCCTCACTCACGACTATATATGCCGATAGGAATTTGACTATATAGACTAAGCCAGATTGGTACCCGGATTTGGTCCTTCAGCAGCCTCTTAGGGTACTTCTCCCAAAGGACTGCAACTAGTCACTTGCAGCTGGTTCATGGATCTCGTCAAGGCAAGGCCAAACATGTGGTTGGTCCATCTGGATGTTGGATTGTCCGTCTCACTTTCAACAAGTTCACTTCAGGTTGGACCACCTCATCACCCCATTCTGGGACCACCTCATTGCACACAATACATGTGTGTATTTTAATAGGGAGACCCCCAGGTTTAATGTTTTTTTGTCTATTTCTCGTCTTCCAGGGGGTCGAACTGGGAAGTGTCCTTATTTAAATACACTACCATTGTGCTTGTGGATTTTGGAGGTTCTGGCTGAATCCTCCTGTTTCTGTACAGGTGGATTTTCTGTACTAAAGAGAAGACTTGGGTTTGGAACCACCCATGAGCGACGAGCCACAACGTGGTTGGTAGCGGTTGGTTCATTGGATGGGTAAGGCAGCCTAATTGGATGTCAGCCAGTCTGGCTGAGGAAAGCAGCACTGGAGGCCGCAGCCTGGGCTTGAAGTGATCACCTGGTCCTTCAGGAGTCTCAAACCCGTGGCATGCCATGGCAAATTCTCTTCACATTTGCACTAGATCAGTAGGTAGTGCGTAGGAGAACAGGTGACCATTGTTGACATGTTTGCGTGTGTGTGTGTGTGTGTTTGTTCTTGAACTCCAGGTCGTCGTGCAAGATTCACATGAGAGATTGTTCAGGTCAGATCAACAGCAACCCAGATCAGGGTCTTGAACCAGTTGTCCAAAGAAGACCAAATCAAGTGGTACAGGTTGCTACATCTTGTAGACATCAAGAAGGGACATCTCAATGTGTTTCTTTCTTGGTTCCTTTGAAAGGAGCTTGATAGACATGTTCTTTCACTCTTGCACCTACAGTCGGATCTCAGGTTGCTTTGCATAGAGGATGATAGAGGATTTCCTTTGCCCGTCGGCATGAAGCAGATGCCGAAACTCGGCCCCAGGCCAGAGCAGATGCCGTTTCTTGGCTAGCAGTGCCCGGCCGTGCGGTTCCAATCTTCCAGGGCGTCTTCGGATTCCCGTCTTGGTAGCGATGCCCTTTGTTACTGGCAGCGTTCTTGTTCCTAGTAGCGATGTCAGGAGCCCCGAACGTAGCGTTCTGGTCCAGATGAACGCGCCCATGAACAGAGAAATTCATGTTTTTTGGCGTGAGGTTAGCACCTCACGCATCTGGGGATGTCGACCAAGAAGAGAGCTGCGGTAGACCAGTAGAACCTCAGAAGCTCCTTTTGGTGGTGGAGTGACCACTTTCCACTTTCCATGCGCACGGTGCGGTTAAACGCGGCGCCTTGGCTACTAGTTCTCGAATTGGCATGCGGCAGGCTTAAAGAGGAGTGACCAGCAGCAAAAATGTGTTTTTTGTTCTGAAAAGCCGCTTCGGGGATGAGATGACTGTGATTTTGCAACGTTGTGCACGTTTTTTTCAAAGGGGGACGTTGTTGTGAGAAACACAAAAGAAAACATGCAAAGACTGGCTACCCGCTGTTCAGTTGGATTGAACGTGTTGCTTTGTGTTTCAAGAGCATGAAAAACCCCTCATATGAAGGGGTTGGTTGCATACCTGTAATTAGCATATCCAGGTGGTGCTCCTGTCTCTTTTCTGTGTTCTTCTCGCGATATATCCAAGGATGCTCACTTGCAGCATTTGACTCGAAGCGTGCACTCCTGTGGAATCGTTAGCCGTCTCTTCGGCCAGTTTCCTTGTTCGGACCACTTAGTCAGTTTACATGGTTCTCATCTACCGAAGCTTAATAAATAGAACCATGGTGTGTGTTTTCTCAATAGATTTTCACCGCTCCGCGGATCAAATCTCATCACCCAGCAGCCACACGCCATCGTGAAGACCCTTGGGTGCTCGGGCACCCGGCAGTCGCACGCCATGGCGGACTGCCTTCCTTGTTGCGAGATGCAGGCACCAATCAGACAGTTCTGCTTTGGGAGGAGACAAGGGAAAGCCCTCAGACCTATCTTCTGATTCTGGTGACCTAAAAATAGATAGCCAAGTAAGTAGTAACCTCTCCGAAAATCAGCACTGAAAGGCATTAATTTTACATTTCCGTGGAGACCTCGTCTTTAGGATAACCATGAAAAACCATGGGTAGTGAGTTCTGAGATCTAAGGACTCAACGGGCAATGGGCGCCCACTAGCCGTAGCCTGAAACAGCTGCATGTAGGCGGCCATCCAGTATTGCATTCGGCTTCCTCGGCATTTCTCAGCTTTCGGCTTTACATGGTCAGCCGGGCAAAAACATGGACTTGGTCCGAGGTTTCTTTACCAGTCCCTTCGGGCGTGTGTCTGAACATCACATTGACATATTACATATGTATCCCAGTATCCCCTATATATGGTTGTCGATCTAAAGGTCCTAGTCAGCAGTGTGTATGACGATGACCCGGAACATATCAAAATCTCATTTGGCGAAAGTTTTTTCTCGAGTTGGCGAAAGTTTTTTTTTGTTTGGCGAAAGATCTGGCGAAAGATTAAATATGTACTTTTGTATGAATGTTCATTTGCTTTCTGAACAGCTGGTGGCAGTGACTCAGAAGCTAGATAAGCTGTGGAAGTTAGATAACCTGCTGCTGCTGCGGCTGCTACTACTACTACTACTACGACTACGACTACCACTACCACTACCACCACCACCACCACCACGACCACGACCACGACCACGACCACGACCACGACCACGACCACGACCACGACCACGACCACTACCACTACCACTACCACTACCACTACCACTACCACTACTACTACTACTACTACTACTATTCCTGCTCCTGCTTTGGGGGGTGGCTTTGCCACAAAACTCTACCCCGCAAAAGGCGAAAGTTTGGCGAAAGTTCAGCTCAAGATTGGCGAAAGTTCACCCTGCCACATCTGACCCCCAGCCCATTATGAGTAAGTTTGAGTGACCGGCTACTACAGTGATTCTTGCAATTTTGATTCTTGCTGACACCCAGGAGAAACAAAAGAGACGTACTGGGTGTCAACAGTTATATAAGTAGAAGACACATGCTGACAAACAGTGAAGTTTCTATTTTGTGTTTGCCAGTAAAGAAGAAGCCATTGACGTGAACAAAACACAACATACATGGCACACATAAATACAACGTACTTCGGCGAAAGATATAACGCAGGAAGGCGAAAGTTTGGCGAAAGTAAATTTTTTTGGCGAAAATGACGGATCCCGGATCAAGGAATTTAGATCAACTCCCATATATATATATATATAACAGGGAAATGACAAAGTCGTCGCTCACTTTGTGTAAATGTGGAGTTTTCCTCGGGAAGAGCATTCCAGGAAAGTCATCGCATTGTTGTAGTTTGCAACGGAGCCGCATTGTTTTTAAACGGGAACCTTGTTTTGCTTTGTGCAGGCTTTGGTGTGTTTGATGCGATTCCATGCAGTTCTGGCACTCTACGAATCAACATCACACATCATGAGTGTTCATGAATGCGGCGTTATACTTCTGTGATGTGCAATTCCATGGGGGAAAGACATTTGTGGAAGACCGTGGAGTGACTTTAGCAATTTCCGCCTTTTCAAAGCCTCCTACGTTCGTAGCCACAGAAGGTGGAATGAGCTGACATGATCGATGGATCCATCCATGAACTGAAGTGGGTCAGCCAGACGTCCAGCTTTGGGGAACAAGATCTCTCGTCCGGCTGTCCGGTCGTTCGTGCCTTTTGTTTACCCACGACGTGCAACTCAGTACACTTTCTTCCGTTGAATATATCCGCCTGTTTCTCCTGCCCATGGAGTCTTTTGTTTCTCAACGACGCCAATCCTGCAAATGTCCAGCGACAAAGACAGCCTTACTTAGCCTGATGTTGTTTTCACAACCAAGCAAAGATTCAATACCTCCCGACCAGTATTGACTAGCTCATATGCCAATCACCTACTCGTTGCTGTAGTGACCTCAAGATAGCAACTGTGTTGAGAGCAGATGTGTTTTACATTGTTTGTATTAAGTTCCGGAACATTTTGTGTATATGTTGCTGTCTTATTTACTTGGACACATGTTTTGTTGTGACTCATAGCCCCACTTGCCACTCCTAGGCCTTGGAAATGCTAATCAAAGACGTGGGTTGAAAGACCATCTCGCCCATCTCTTTGACTTCGGGGGTCCTGAGTGAACACTCACTAGTGATTCGGGTTCAATGCGTACATTCCTGGCCTGAAAACATATTTTTTGTTGAATACATTTGCTGGTATGGTAGGGGTGACGTTGGTTCTAGTTTTTGTTCTTTACCCAGATTCAGATGGGTGTACTTCAACCCTGAATCGTTGGTTAGCACCATCCAATTTGGAACCGTTGGAATCTTTGCACCATGACGCCCGAGCGTAGGACTTCGAGATCAAAGGCACAGGGGCTGTGGAATCAAGGCGAATCAAATGAAGAGAGGATACTACAGGGTATCCTGGCAACAGGGGACCACCAATCCGGGATGCTCATCAACCATCCCAGCTTTGCAGACCCACTCATCGTCCACGGCATCGTGTTGGTTTCAGGAAGAAAAAGTACTCGCATTCCATAGAGGATCTAATTCATACTATATAATTCATGACATAGAAGAGGGTGGCACCGTTTGCTTGCTAATCTGAGTGAGCTTGCAGCATGTCAATCTGAACAGCAGTCGCGACAACAAAAAACACACTATATGAAACAGGCTCAAGAGGTTATGATAAATGTTGTGCCATCCTGGATGTGCAACATTGGATTGTATACATAATTACTCATACTGTAAAGGATATGCATTGTCATTCCCTGGACTTCTGGGAATCATTCCTGATTGCTGCAAAGGGTATTGTGTGGCTTCGGCTGCTTCTCCTGATCGCTTCAAAGCTTCACTCGCAGGCTGTGAGTCCATGGGACCAATCCCTCTAACCGTCCGACGGCTTGGAGGGCATGGGCGGCACGCACGCACGGCACGGCAGGGCTGTGGAGGCGGCAGAAGTTTCCCCAAAGAACGAGCCAATCCGGGAGCAACTGGTGATCTTGAGAGCAGTGCTTCGGTATTTTTGCTTGGAACGAAGGTCGGCAGGATCGGTGTCCCGCAGAAACACCATGGCATCGTGATTCCAGATTGACCGCACATCTTGTCAGAAGGCCACACCACTTTGCCTCCCGCACCCGTCAGGCACCCAAACTGTTGGTTTTGGGGAACGTGCGCCCGTCCGAACGCCGTTTCTTCACCTCGACCTCGCTCCGGGACCGATGCCGTCCGATCGACGCGGCTCACGAAGGAACGCTCCGGTTTCTTCGGTGAATCTGGGTCGAGGTCGTGCGGTGGAGGTCGTGAGTGATTTCTAAGGTTAGTTCTAGCCGCATTGCAAGTTCTTAGTCGTTGGTTATGAGGAGAATCCTCAAAGAACAACAGATCACAACACCAACTACTGCTGAATTCTGAACCTCCACCCAATGTGACAGGCGCCTCGCCACCCAATGTGACACCAGTATGACTCTGCACCAGCTACTTTGCACCATACTTTGCACCATACAAAACCCATTGAGAAAACATCCACCAACCGAAAACGCAACGAGGAAACCGTCTCTTGGCACCGAGGTCTCCATCCCTGCGTCGCCGGGCTCTTGGCGACCACCAAGCGAGGACAGACATGAAATGGCAGCCAGCAGCCAGAATCAGTTCAGGGAAATGAAATTCATGAGTTCGACATGTCAATGAACGTTCGATTTGCAACCGGCAACCTGCATCCTGCTGTCGAGGCAATCCACGTAGAGCCTTCCTCCTGTGAGCAGGCTATGTTTGTTAGATTGGCTCCATTTTTTGTGTGAAGTAAGACCTCCTATGATAGCATGTGTAGCTATATATAACTATATATATGATTATATGGACTGCCATTCGCTGGGCACTTGCGGCGCCAGGACAGTGATGCTCGCTTGGAACTCGTCGGCGAGTCTTTGCAACGTCTAAGTTCTCAGGCCGCAGCATCGCACAGTGGCACGGTGACGTTGCTGGTGGAGTGGTGGATGTTTTGTTCTCCATGACCAGTCCAGCTTCCGACCAGTCCAGCTTGTTCAGTCCAGTCCACCCATTCCACCTGAAATTGGGAAGTCTTTTGAACTATTCAATTGGGTGAAGTACAGGAA